TTTTTTTTATTCGCTCTCCATATTTGGAAAATAATTGGATGAAAACATTCCCTCTCTCTCTCTCTCTCTCTCTCTCTCTCTCTCTCTCTCTCTGTTATTATTATCATGATTGCAATGATATTACAAGAATATATAGACATCCGTAGGGATATTTTTTTTTTATTACAAAAATTCAAGACAATCAAACGATGATTGTTGTCAAACATATAATTGAAATTAAAATTCCTTGAAAATAATTTTAAAATTCTGTTTAAAAAACTATTTCTTTTCCTTTTTATCATCATCATCATTCGCATTCCTTGAATTCATGGATCTATATTTCTCGTCTCGCTATCGTCTTTCTATCTTCTTCTTTTTTTTTCTGTACTCTGTACCACCTGTGCGTTATGAATTCGTGGAAAAATGAAATCAATAAGAAAATGGAATCCCAATGCTATGATGATGATGATGATGATAAATCGATGAATTGAAAGATTTGCTCTCAAAATTTGTACAGAATTCTTTTTTTTACCTTTCCTGAAAATTATCATCATTGTGGCCAGAAATGAGAATATATATCGATCATACATCATTTTCTCTCATGCACTTATTTGTTATTTTCATTCATTGTTTTACTATTTGTTGGAAAAAAAATCAATTTTATTTCAATTAATTAGGTAAAAACCATTAATTAATAAAGTACTTTGATCATATTGAAAAAACGGAATAACCTTAATTTTAAGCAAATTAACCTGGGCAAATCTGAATTCTTTCAAAATAAAGTTTTTCTTTTCTCTCACTGACATGAAAAACAAAAATATTCAACGTGAATGAAAAAAATCATCATAAACGTTAATTACAAGAATCGATTTATTTTGTAGTTGTTGTTTTTGTTGTTGTTGTTGCTATTATTATTATTTTTCCCAGAATTTTATCCCTTATTTATACATTCCAATTATAACAACAACAACAACAAATTCCATAAGATACTTATTAGCTTTCTCATTATTTTATTTTGTCGGGCTGAAATTAAATGATGAAAATATTTCATCTTTCAGGCTCTCCGATAGCCCTTAGCTTCATTAGCCAAGAATTTTTTTCCGAAATTATTATTACACATTTTCGGAAGAAAGAAGAAGAAAATCATAAATACATTCTTATTTCCTTTTTTTTCATATATTTATGTTTTTAGATTATCGAAAAATCTTCTTGTTGATCATTTTTGTATGTTTTTTATTATTACTGTATTGCCCAGAAAAGATTACATATCACTATAATCATCATTCGTTAACAGCAAATAAAAATACAAATAATAATAATTTTATTGCAATGATGGATAATAATAATAATGATAATAATAATGTTAAATTATAATTAAGAAAAAAAGAATATAATCAGAATAAATAGTTATCAAATGATTTGTTGTTGTTGTTGTTGTTGTACATATAAAAAAAATAAAATAAAATATGAACATCATCAGGATGTTGTTGTTGTTGCCGAATGATTATGATTATGATTATGATTAGTAGAAAAAAAGCCATCATGATGATGATATTCGACTATAATATCATTTGATTTCGAATCATTCATTTTGTTTTTTGGCATTACATAAATTTTGTCCTTATATAAAAGAGAATGACCTTTTTATTTCTTTCTGATTACAAATTACAAGAATTTTTTTTTTGTTTTGTTGTTTTTTCCATTGGTAAAGCTTAATATGATTTCATTTGTATTATATAATGATAAATGAAATGAGAAAAACCAAAAAAAAAAAATATAAGCTATTATTTGGAATAAAATTTCCGTTTCTTTCTATGTTTTTGTTTTGTTGTTTATCTTCATATAATGATTTTTTTTGTCTTTATTCATTCTTCATGTACATTCAAGATTATTGTCTTTATTTCTGATGGATTCGTTGACATTTTTTTTTATCATCATGTTTTTGTGGCTTGTTGTTGTTGTTGTCGATGGTTATAGAAATCATAAGTATACCCGGAATAATAAATCTATGGTTTTGATATTGTTGTTGTTGTTGTTGAAATAACAACGACAAGAGAGAAAAAAAACTTAATAGAAGTTAACTTGGTTGAAGAAAAAAAAGGGTTTATATAATCCGTATTATAATAATGCTGAAATATATTTCAAGAATAAAGACAGGAATAAAAATGAATAAAAATAAATGATTCAGGACTTTTAAGCTTTCAATTATGATTATTATAGAATTGTTTCGATTGGAATTTTTCTAGAGAATTTCATCTCTGATTGTGATTTACATATACACTCTAGTGTTTTTCCTGTTTTTGTTCTTCCATTTTGAGGTTCTTTTTGTTCAAAAAAACTTTTTTTTTTTTTTTTTGGTTTGTTAAATATCATTCGGTTTCCAAAACCGATACTGCTGAATATTATTTTTTTTT